CTTGGTGGTTCACCGGTCGATCATGATTGACTTAATGCCCATCCCTGGCATAGAGGAATAGCAATAACTTTCAGACATTTTCCACACTGTACGTAACTGTTGTTTAAGATATAGCACTTTTGTTGTCAAATTTATGCCCACACGGCCGCCCGCTGGAAGGTTAAAAAGCACAACTAGTTTAGGACTGTTTAACTCAGTAGTAATCATTTATTATCTTCCTTTGATATGAGCTATAGCTTTTAATGCTATAACAAGCTTCACAAAGTCCACAAAATACGAGGGCCATCCAGGAAGTAGATTACGTTTCCGTCTGTGTCCGCTAGGGGTAGGGCTAGCGCGGCCATCTTGGGGTCAGAGCGTTGCGCAGCTCAGTCTGCATCTAGCCGTGCTAGTGAGAGGTTCGTGCTGTGCTCCGTTCAGATACTGTGACGGTTTTGAAAATGTCTGCGTTAATTGAAAATCCCGCGAGCTGCGAGGTGCGCTCAGTAATAAGGTTTCTGACTGCAAAAAACTGTAAACCGATAGGAAATCTATCGGCAGCTTCGTGAAGTGTATGGGGACAAACATTATCACTGAAGGTGGAGGAGTGCGTCAGTGGGTCATAAGATTTCAAAAATGGCCGAACCAATGTTCACGACGAAGATCGAAGTGGGAGACCCAGCATAGTGACCGCCGAACTTCTCGAAAAAGTCGATGCTAAAGTCCGTGAAAATCGAAATTTCACAATAACGGAACTTTCTTTGAGTTTTCCACAAATTTCGCGAAGTTTGTTGCACGAAATCATCAGCGAAAAGCTTGGTTACCACAAGTTTTGGTGCAAGATGGATTCCCAAAAATCTTGACAGAGGACCACAAAAATCAGCGAATGGCCTGCAGCGTTGAACTTTTTGGACGCTTACCATAAGGATGGTGACTCTTTACTCGATCGCATCGTAACTGGTGACGAAACATGGGTGAAACATGTGAATGTGAAACGAAATTGCGATCAATGCAGTGGGGGCACACAAGTTCTCCCCAAAAAACCCAAGAAATGCATGCAAACAATGTCGGCAAGGGAAGATGATGGCGACTGTTTTTTGGGACAGAAAAGGTGTAATTTTGGTGGACTTCCTGGAAAGAGGCCACTACAATAAACTCTCAAAGGTATTGCCAAACTCTCCAAAAACTCAGAAGAGCAATTCAAAACAAGCGCAGAGGAATGTTGAGCTCTAAGATCTTGTTGATTCACGACAACGCCCGGCCCCACACGGCAAATGTCACTCGTAAAGTTCTTGAATCTTTTAAGTGGGAGTTGTTTCCTCATCCGCCGTACAGTCCGACCTGGCACCGAGCGACTTCCACCTATTCCCAGCAATGAAGAGTGGCTGGCTATGCAGCGTTTTGATGACGACACACAGCTGCAAGAGAGGTAACGAAGTGGTTGAAGGCGCAGGCGGCCGAATTTTTCGACGAAGGAATTTCCAAGCTCGTACATCGCTACGATAAATGCCTTAATTTGTATGGTGACTATGTAGAAAAGTAGTATTTGAGTGTGGCTTTCATCTGTATATAATAAAATTTGTTTCCTATACTTTGTTTATTTTTTTATTCCAAAACGTAATCTACTTTCTGGATAGCCCTCGTAAGTATAAATGGTGATGCAATTGCCTGCAATTAAAAATGCAACAGAAATAAACAAAAACTATATTAAACTTACCTTTTTTTTTTTAATAACAGTATAACAATCACACAACTTAACTGACTGATATCTCAGATCAACTAATAAGACATCATGCACCAAATCTTTGATACAATATGTTTAGCACATGTTTTATACATATACGAGCTGTGTAATACAGTCAAAAGTCGTTAATCCAGACTCGTCGGGACTTCGGCGATTCCGGATTATAGATCATCATTTTAAATCTGGTAAGATGGCATGCAGAAATTATAAATTAAAAAATATGAAACCGTAATTTATGATTTAAAGAGCACATATGATCTAAAAAGTATCAAAATTTACAAAAAAAAAAAAAAAAAAAAAGCTTAAGATTTGTTTGTTTACTTTATTAAACATTTCTTTCAATGTAAGTTGTTTAAGTTGCTTCATTTTATGTGATAATACTTTCTCTTTAATTCTATAAACAGACATAATTTCTTCTTCACTTACAAAGTTCCGCTGTTCAAGTCCTATAATTGCTGTGTCGAGGATATCGACTAATTTGTCAATCGAAATTTTTTCGTTTTCAATAACCTCTGTGTCACTTTCTTCACTATCAGAAGCAAATTATAATGATGAGAAATTTGATTTAAATCATATCAAAGACGGAGTACATCGAGATGAAATACTGCATTTAGTAAGGAATTATAAGCCAAATAAAATAAAAACATCCGCCTGAAGATAAGGATAGTGTTGACAGATCAACTTCCAATTCATTCCCTCCTTCCCCGCAGAGCAGCGTGAAATTGATAAAACAGATTTCGGAATGGTTAGAGAAACAAAGGATATGCCTTTATCCATTTTTTGCAGCAATTCCACTTTTTGTTTGATGGACATCAAAACATACTTTCGCTTTGTAGATCCTTTGGGAGCTCCAGCATCGGAAATTCTTTTTGACATAATCGAAATTTGAAGCTTACTTTTATAAAATTGCTCTAACAGTCTGCAAAAAATGATAAGCCTGATCTAATTCGAAGATTAAGGGAACAACGCAATCTGCAACTTTAACTGAAGCAGATAATTTAGATAGATTTTAGCTTATACCATCCTGTTATACATTAAATACGCGCATTCATAAACGTATTTTGCGCACGCGCACACACATATGCGCAGCCGTAAAGGTCTTACGCGCATGCGTGAACATGCGCAGAAAGTTTGTAGCTTTGAGGTCCGGATTATAGATCATTTCTGATTATGGGTGTCCGAATTAACGACTTTTGACTGTAGTAGAATTTCATCATATTTTGCAACACTTCACATTACAAACACACTGGATGCTTTCGATTTGGGCATGGAAATAGCCATAAATAGCAGACTATCGAACACAACAACCAGCGATTGCCAGCTTAATAAATGAAATGGAAAAGCAGAAAGCGGATTTTGCTACTCGTGTTTTCATGAAGTCAAATTGTCGAGTCCAACAAGATCTATCTCACTCTCAAGTCAGACTACATCTATTGCATAGTTATGCATGAATGTAAATACTTTGTTCATAAGTTTGTGTGCAAATGTAAATATGTCTTTTAATTTTAATATCAAATAGCTCAGTCAGTTTTTGTCAAATGGAAGTCAAATTTTTTTATTATTTTTTTAATGATGAGTACAAAATTTTCTTAAATATAAGTATAGGAACTGGAAGAATGTATAAAAAGTTCATTTCATAATTTTTTAACTTTTTTTAATTAAAAAATGCCAAAACATGAATATTTGCAGCACTTCAAGCATTTTCATGCCTGAAAATATTTGTCTATGAAGAACAATTGCAAAAATAAAAGCCAGGTAAAGACATTTTTGAACATAGTGTGTGTTTGTGTGTGTGTATACAAAAGATAAAATTATATGACTTTGAATTATACTCTAAATTTGCAATAGCTTCTAAATTTGTCTTTTTTATTTGGGGACCCCGCCCTTTCTGTTCTAAAAGTAGTAATAATTTTTTCAAAACTGCATTATATCTGAAAACTAATTTTGTGTCATATCATTTGAACCTTCTGCATTGTGTATAGTTTTTAGCCAATCAGATTAATGAAAAATTTTACTGCAATCCATCTATGTACTCTCTTTTGATGCCTAAGCTTGCTTGCTATAAAACTGCATATACATAATAGTGAGGTGCCTATTGCACCAATGATCATGTGTGAAACAAATATTATATCTTCGGAATTGCTTTATCCAATAATAAAATTATGTTCAATTTGGCCATGTCTGTTTGTAAGTCTGTCATTCTATTTATTCAATAAACCATTGCCAGTCCATTACAGCTGCTATCTGCAAAATGATATCCACTGTGAATAAAAAGTGAATTTGTGCCTTCCCTAGTCAAGCTGTCACTTAATATCAAGTTATCCACAGTTAAATAAATCATCAGACACACACACACATATATATAAGCTATAAAATATAAAAGAAAATTACAAACTTTAATTTGGCAATGGTCCTTTTTTATTCCCCATTGTGGTTTGGCTGACTCCCAGTTCTGTTTTTGAAGTGAAGATTGTATATAATACTGTTTATGATAACTTTCTGAATTTCATCTTTCCAAATTAATCCGTTTCATGTTTCTCGTGTGTGAAGGCCCACCAGCAGGCGAGCGGTAAAGTCGCTAAACACTGGTAGTTCGGTCCGAAGTTCGAATCCGGCAAACAGGCTGGGTGCATGGTCGTTTTCACGGTTTTCCCCATGTGTAACGTGTATACGAGCCAGTTTCCCTTAGAAAATCCTCGACAAAGACATCTCTTCCCTTAGGCAGATAGCCCTAGTGTGCTTTGCTATAATTAAATAAACCAAACCAAACCATGTTTCTTGTGTAACCATACTGCAATTTGCATTGCTCTCATCTTAAGATTAAAGAAATTTTTACTATAAATATCTCTACTGCTATTCCACAGCCCTTTTTTTCTACTTCCTACTGCTTAGATGTGTCACTTTCCTCTACTACCTATTGTTTTGAAAATGTAAGCTATATAAAGCTGTGATAGCGCACCCATAACGATGATGCTATATGGAAAAGAATGTTATCAAGGAATAAAATTATGTGCTGAAAGGCCATATAGTATGTCATCTAGTGCCATCCATTTATCTGTGTATTAATGAATTATCAAGTTATTATTATTTAAATTTTAAACTAAACAATATGACGAATATACTTGTAAACTTTAGAAAATTTAATATGATTTTGTTATTTAAAATTAAATGAATACATTTAATATAATCATACACTTCTTGATTTTTATGTAAATTCTGTTGTAATTTATTATTATTGTTTACAGCCATTTTGATTAAATATTGTTTTTATTTTCAGGCTGCTGTAGAATGCTTACTCTCAGCTTTAGTTTGTGGTGTTACTTACAGCTTATTTAGTGGTCAGCCTCTAACTTTCTTAGGGAGTACAGGCCCTGTACTTGTTTTTGAAGGCATTGTATATGATATATGCGAGTATGTCTTTTTCTCATTTCTTTTTTCATTTTTGGAGTTGTTATAATTCAGCATAATTTGATTGAATATTATCAAGCATGTGTGTAAAAATATAATGTTAAAGTATTTATCACTAGAAATGGATAAACTTCATAATAAATGCTTCATTCGCTATTTTTGTAGAAACTTTTAGAATAGTAAAAATGAAAATGTAAGCTGTTTCAAAAGCATTTAATCTTCTCTCCTTTTTCTCTTCAACATTATGTGTCGTTTTTTTGCTAGTGTTATTAGAATGTTAAAAAAAAATAGGACAGAAAGTCTCAAAAGATATTAGGAGTAATTTTATTATGGAAATAAAAAGGGCAATTCATTATAAATTATTAAATTTCATGAAAATAAAATTATGTATGAACCAATTTTCCAGTTTACCTTCTTTAAACTGGAAATTTGCTTGTCTGAATGTTCAGGCGGGTCAAAAAACTGCATGAAGTAGTGGAAACAGCATCTATGAAGCAGCAGTATGAGTAACTAATAAGTATTCTAGTATAAATAACACAAGCAACTGTTAAGGACCTTTATTTTTTTGTTTCGCAATATATTGTATTTGATTTGATTCTGTGTGTCTCTCTCTTTTTGCTCCCTTCTCGTTACTGTGTATGTATGTGTGTGTTTTGAACAGTTGTAGCAGTATGAATGTTAAGTATTTTATATTTTATTATTATTCACTAATTTTTTTTTATCAGTTAATGCCCACATTTGGACCTTTCTGTGTTGTTTGTTTTATTTATGTATCAATTTTTAAAGAATGAATTTTGAGTAGGCTACATTTATATTAGTGTATGGTTAGAAAAGTGGTCTTTCAAAATCAATTACTAAAGAAATGAAATTTGAGTGTGCTACATTTATATCACTTTATTGTGAAAAGGGGGGAAAAAAGAAATATTTGTTGCAGTTTGCTCTGCCATGTTATAAAATAAACAGATGTATATTCTACTAGATAATCAAATGCATTCTAATTAGCGAGATTATTTTAAAATAACAAAATTCAAAGAAAAGAAGACTTAGAAGATCTATGACAAGAAATAATGTAGAAAATACTTAATATGTTTTAGCTTACAGAGAATTCAAAAACTTTGAAATTACTGCAAAAAAAGCAATTACTTGATGACATGCAAGAATAGAATTAGGCAGTAAATAAAATAATGTTATGAAACATTTTAAGATTGCAGCATTCTGAAATAATGCATACTAATCTCTCAAAGTTCTGATCATGAAAAGTGAAAGTGTCATTGGCAACGGTTGCCATTTTGCTAACTTCAGTGATCAGCTAAGTTCTTTTTTTATTTTAGAGCTAGTAATTTGTACAGATAATGCATAAGAAAATTCAAGCCGAGTCAAAAGTTAAGATCCTGTTATGCCTTGAATTTCATTGTTGTATATATATATATTCTGTCTCTCTCTTTGCAATGCTTCCGGGTTAGTTCATTCAAATAGATTCGATGAACTTTATATTAGGAGATAATGTAATCAATATTACTTTAGTATATATATATATATATTATAAAAGATGTAAAGTAGGAATTTTAGAACTAATATTTCACAAGACCAGAAATTGAAATTTTCATTCATTAAAAGCAATTTTTGACTAAAAAATTAGTAAAAAATTACGTAAATATTTAAAAGTTTTTCTTTTGGTTTCAAAATTATGTATTACATACAAGATTTTAGCCTTTTGAGTGATTACTTTCGAGCCAAAGTTTTTTAGTTTTGCCAATGAAGCCAAGATGGCAAACCTGTACATAACTTTCTGATTCGATTCTCATTTTTAGAATGGAATCTAATGAGAGTGATGGAAGTTCATAATTACTTTTGGGTTTTTTCAATTACATCTGAATTTATTGGATTATCTTTTTAAAGGTAAACATTTTGATTTAAAATTTTTCACTGAAGTACAGTCAAAAGTCGTTTATCCGGACTCGTCGGGACTTCGGTGTTTCCAGATTATCGATTTTTCCGGATTATAGATCAGCAGTTTAAATCTGGTAAGATGGCATGCAGAAATTATAAAATTAAAAATATGAAACCATAATTTATGATTTAAAGAGCACATATGATCTAAAGGGTATCAAAATTTACAAAAAAAAAAAAAAAAAAAAAAAAAAAAAAAAAAAAGCTTAAGATTTGTTTGTTTACTTTATTAAACATTTCTTTCAATGTAAGTTGTTTAAGTTGCTTCATTTTATGTGATAATACTTTCTCTTTAATTCTATAAACAGACATAATTTCTTCTTCAGTTACAAAGTTCCGCTGTTCAAGTCCTATAATTGCTGAATACCGACTAATTTATCAATCGAAATTTTTTCATTTTCAATAACCTCTGTGTCACTTTCTTCACTATCTGAAGCGACTTATAATGACGAGGATATTGATTTAAATCATATCAAAGACGGAGTACATCGAGATGAAATACTACATTTAAGTAAGGAATTATAAGCCAAATAAAATAAAATCATCTGCTCTGAAGATCAGGATAGTGGCTGACAGATCAACTTCCAATTCATTGCGCGCCGCGGACGTTTCCCCCCTCTCCGCCGGCAGAGCAGCATGAAATTGATAAACAAATTTCGGAATGGTTAGAGAAACAAAGGATATGCCTTTATCTATTTTATGCAGCAATTCCACTTTTTGTTTGAATGGACTTCGAAACAATACTTTCGCTTTGTAGATCCTTTACATATTAGGCAAATCTAGAATCGGAAATTCTTATTTGACGTAATCGAAAGTTCCAAGTTTACTTTTATAAAATTGCTTTAACAGTCTGCAAAAAGTAATAAGCCGGATCCAATTTGAAGATTAAGGATCAACACAATCTGCAACATTACCTGAATTAGATAATTTTAGCGTAGCTTATAACGTCCGTTATACATTAAACGCGCATGTGCACACGCACATTCACAGCCAAGGTCTTATGCGTCAAAGCGACGCACGTGCAGAAAGTTTGTAGCTTTGAGGTCCGGATTATGGGTGTCCGAATTAATGACTTTTGACTGTATTTTGTTTTTTCACTTTTGTTTTCAATTCTAATTTTTCTAATTACAAATTACTTTGTTTTGTCCTTGCTTTGGGGAAGGGCCAGAATATTCAGGTGAGCTATTATAATTATAATTAAAATACATTGAAATGGTTTCATCGGCTGATTCTGGATACAGAAAAAGAAGGACTTTTGTATAAGTGAAATTTCAACTAATTTCAAAGTTTCTCTCCTTCCCCCCCCCCTGATGAAGTGACATTGATTTTGATTGAATTCCTCTTGTATTTTTGCTCATTTTTCATTAAATTTATAAAATTTTTGAAGGGGGGTTTGATTGTTTGAAATGTTTTGGTTTTAACATTTTAGAATTATTGCACTTATGTGATTATTTTAAATTTATTAATTACGAATTTCAATTTCTGGTCTTTGAAGAATATTAGTTCTAAATTTCTTACTTTATGTCTTTAATAATAATTTTTCTGCAGCTAAATGCTCGAAAATACTAGGCATGTTGGTTTTGTTTTCAAAAGACTTGTTTTGTAAATATGTATATTATATATAATTCTCTCTCTATATATATGTATATTTATATATATTCTCTCTCTTATTAATAGTAGTAATAATATAAATGGAGAGTGAAGTGTTTCATTTATTTTGCTTTACTTTAATATTTACATAACCTCTCTTCTTTTACAGGTGGTATTCAATGGATTATTTGTCTGTCCGACTGTGGATTGGCTTATGGACTTCTGTTTATTTGTTTGTGTTTGTGGCTTTTAATGTAGCTTCTTTAGTACATTACATCACTCGTTTTACACAAGAAATATTTGCTACTTTAATATCAACATATTTTATTTATAAAGCATTTAAAAATGTGAGTTTTTTTAATTTGTGTTCATTTTACATTAAAACTTGTAATTTTCATTTTTATGTATTCTTTATTATTGTTACAGTCAAAAGTCTTTAATCTGGAATGTTCTATAATCCAGACCTCAAGGCTACAAACTTTCTGCGCATGCGTAAACGCATAATACCTTTACGCATGCACGTATAATGTATAACGGACGGTATAAGCTAAGCTAAAATTATCTAATTATTTATTTCAGTTAATGTTGCATATTGTGTTGATCCTTAATCTTCTAATTGGATCTGGCTTATTATTTTTTGCAGACTGTTAGAGCAATTTTATAAAAGTAAGCTTGAACTTTCCATTATGTCAAAAAGTATTTCCGATTCTGGAGCTGCCAAAGGATCTACAAAGCAAAAGCGTGTTTCGATGCCCATCAAACAAAAAGTGGAATTGCTGCAAAAAATGGATAAAGGCATATCTTTTGTTTCTGTAACCATTCCGAAATCTGTTTATCAATTTCACGTTGCTCTGTGGCCGGGGGGAGGGGGACATTGCGGCGCCCAATGAACTGGAAGTTGATCTGTCAGCACTATCCTTATCTTCAGGGCAGATGTTTTTATTTTATTCGTCTTATAATTCCTTACTAGATGTAGTATTTTATCTCGATGTACTCTCTTTGATATGATTTAAATCAAATTCCTCATCATTATAAATTTCACGAATACACATCAAATAGTTTTCTGGTTGCGATTTTCTAATTTCCACTATGCGTAATGTATGCTTTACGCATGCGCGCGTTGAAAGAAATATTTAATAAAGTAAACAAATAAATATTAAGCTTTTTTTTGGTAAATTTTGATACCCTTTAGATCATAATTGCTCTTTATTTCATAAATTGCGGTTTCATATTTTTAATTTTATGATTTCTGCATGCCATCTTACCAGATTTAAACTGATGATCTATAATCCAGAATCACCGAAGTCCCGACAAGTCTGGATTAAAGACTTCTGACTGTATTATTATTACTACTATTAAGCTTGCTGTTGTTAGTTTTAAAACTTTCTCTTGTTATTGTGTAGTTTTGAATTATTTTTAGATATTGCATATGAAATATTTAAGAGCAAGAAATTTTGAATAATTTCAAAAATTAAATATCATAAGTATATTTGGTTGAAAGTTACATGCAGCCAACTCCTGTTTACTAGGGTAAAACTGGCAAAAATGTCCGTGGTTAGTTCAAAATCATGGTTATCCAAGAGCAATCATACAAAAAATCATACAAAGTAGAAATTACTGATAATTTAATAAGCAAAGAACACTGTTAACAAGTTACCTGTTTCTAAGCAGTTTAGCCTGGAGAATAAGTTCATTTGGTTTCGTAAATTAAATCAATATTAAAAGTTCTCATTCTCGAGTATGTATGTGCTTTCCTTCTCTCTTTTTCTTCCTGTAGTGATCAACCAGTAGTTAAAACTACTGAATATTGAGAGTTTGATCCCATGCCTAGTAGCATGGTAGGTTTTCATGATTTTTCTCATGTGTGATGAGAATATTCTTTTGTTTATTCAATTTCTCTTTTTTTTATTGCTTTAGATTATTCAGTTTCTTTAGCAAGTTCTCCACAAAGGCATCTCTTCCCTTTGACAAATAGCTCTTATGTACTTATTTGAATAACCTACTCTGTTTCTTCCTGTACCTGTGTATATTTCATCGTTACTTCACTGTATATGTGTTGTTTGTTTATGTTATTCTTGTATTTTGATTGGGATTTATTTGAAACGGAAGGTTAATAAAGCTGTCTACACACTTTTTTTTTAAGATCGAGTAGTTTAATTTTAATGGGACTAGCAATATTTATATATTCAGGATTATGTGCAATCATATTAACATACTTTTGTTAACAAAAACAGCTCCCAAATATGATAATATCACCTGCTAACTGTGATTTGTGGTAGTAATTATTCCTTAAATTCATTTCACCTTAAACTAACTTCTGTTTTTAAGTGAAGCCCTGTTAATTTATCCTTGGATAATTGGGAGCTGACTGTATGTGTCAAGATGGGGAAAGGAAATGTATATTCATTATTTACGAAAATGTTAGTTAATGGTTTCATAGTACACGTAACACAGAAACTTTAAATTTTATAAATTGTATTCCTTTGAGGCAAATGCATATATACAAGAATTATTTTAGGTATTAAAAATAACTAAAATTGTCCCAATCTATATTTAGTTTTTATGATTTATTAAAACTGAAATGTTTTGGGGAGGAGGGGTTTCTAATTTTTGTCTCTTCTGTTAAATTAATTATTCATCTTTGCTGAAAGTAAATTGTATGATAATTTAATAGTGATTGAACTGCCTATTTAGAAGTAGAATTCCATATTTACTAATACAGACATGTATTTTATATAATTTTTATTTGGCCGCCCAGCCGATAGAGTGGTTAGTGACCAAAACGCCATCACATAGACCTCTGACCTAAGGTTCTACACCAGTCAGAGTTATGTCCATGCGGCAGAAAAGAACTTACACCCTTGATGGCATTCATTGAATCAATGATAGTAATATTTCAATGCTAAATTGACGATGTCATCTTTATAATAATTGTTACATAATAATCTGTATGAAAAATTAATATACAGAATTAATCATTGCATTGTCGTGGATAGGATCTATACTGTGGAGAGGGGAACTTATATATTAACCAGTCTCTAAACCTGTGTCTACTTCAATACGTCATAACTTTATGTTCTTATTTGTTACACACCTAATGATGTGTGTCCGTACTATTGTTTCAGTTATCCACAGAGTAGGCCAGTCACATCAGCAGGCAGTTGATAGTTCCATAGCCCAAAGTTTATGATGTTGTGTAGACTATTCTATGTTCATATGAACTGGATTCTAAAATAACTTTTGATAAATTCGAAGTACACTTTTGTTAAGTTCATTGTTCACGTTAAGTACTTGTCCACTTCAATACATCATAACTTCATATCCTTAGCAGTTTGCACACCTCATTATGTGTGTCCATAGCAATTTGCATACTCTGTCACAGTTATCCACAAAATAATCAAGAAATTGCAGTTGGGAAATAGTCATATGTACACTATTTTACTGCTATCCACAGAAGCAAATGTTTTGTAAATAATAATTTGGCTCCTAGATGATTAAAAAAAAAAGAAAAGAAAACGGATTTTTAAATTTTTTCAATACAGTCCTAAATTGGGCAAAACAACAGATTTGTTAAACAATTCCAGTCTATACAAATTGACTAATATTCCAGCAATATAAAGCACATATTCTAAAAAATGCTATTATTTATATGATCTAATTATATCTAATTGTGTTTATAAAAAGGGCTACAATTATACACAGTTTCTTCAAGTGGTTAAAAACGTGTACTGAAAAACAGGAACTAATTCCAATTAGAATAGACATAAAATACATAATTATTCAGTACATATTATTTGCCAATCATCATACCATAAAAATATACGTTTCAAGTGCTGCAAATAATTTTTCATTACGGTTAGAATATTTACCAATCAATCATACTACAAATGTACGTGTTTAAAAAAAAAAGAAAAGAAAAGAAAGAAACTGCAACTAATTTTTCATTACAGTTAAAATAATAAATTTTTACTACAGTCAAAAGTCGTTAATCCGGACTCGATTCCGGATTATCGATCATCAGTTTAAATCTCGTAAAACTGCATGCAGAAATTCTAAAATTAAAAATATGAAACCGGAATTTATGATTTAAAGAGCACATATGATCTAAAAAAGGTATCAAAATTTACAAAAAAAAAAAAAAAAAAAAAAAAAAGCTTAAGATTTGTTGTTTACTTTATTAAACATTTCTTTCAATGTAAGTTGTTTAAGTTGCTTCGTTTTATGTGATAATACTTTCTCTTTAATTATATAAACAGACATAATTTCTTCTTCAGTTACAAAGTTCCATACCTGCCAACTTTTACGAATTTTTCGTAATTTTTACGAAAATGCGTTTGTCTTTACGATTTTACGATCGTAATCCATTTTTTACGATTTTTTTCCTTTTTCAAGTGTTTTTAGTGATTTTTGTCAAAATTTTGGAATTTTTCACCAATTCAGCGATTTTTGCCAATTGCATCGTGTTTTATCGCCAACTACCGACTACTTCGAATCCAGTAACCTGCGGTTTCTCCCAACTCGCCGCTTAACCAGCTAATTCAATGCGCTGAACTTGTTTCTTCTCCCACACTTTTCTTTGTGGGTGCCAAAATGTCCCCTGCTTATCCAAATTCTTAATGATCTTTTGAAAGAACTTTATAACTAAGTTTGTAAAAGCCGTCCGTTGTGAAAAACATGTGTTGTTTTATATTGCCTATAATAGTTTGGCAAATCAGAACGGATGGACAATGATCTTATAATTGGAAATCAAACCAGGGAGCTTGTAAATTCTTTGAAAGATCATGAGAAAAAAAAGATTTTTTCAATGTGTTAGAAAGTACTTTTCCTCAGCCTGTGATTACATTGTAAGGAAGTTTCCTTTGCAAAATGAAGTTCTTTTAAATGCTGAAGTGGCAAATTTGAAACAAATTGGAAATCTATCTTTTGAAAAGATTTGTTTTTTTATTGATAAATTTCCATTTTTGTTAACAATTAAAGAAAATGAATGCCATAATGATGCTTTAGATGAACTATAGAATCCATTTTCTGCTGCACAGTTTGAAGGCTTTGCCAGTTCTAGAGAAGATAGACTTGATGTCCTCGTTGGTACCATAAAAAGAATAAAAAGAGCTGATGGAACACCAAAAGTAAACTAGCAAGAGTTTTATGTGCTATTCTCGTAATTCCACACAGTAATGCTGAGTGCGAGAGAGTCTTCAGTGATGTGAAGAAAAACAAAACTATGTTTGGTTCTTCAATTTCACCAAAAACTCTAGAAAACATTTTAATTGCTAAATGTTATGAGGAAACTAATTGTTATGACAGGAAATTTTCCAAAGAATTTTTGGCTAAAGCCAAAAAATGCACTCTAAATTCATTGCAATGATTTTTTTGTGTAACATTAAGTTCTTGTTTTATGTTTCCTAATAAATTTTTTAGTTACTACTTAATTGAGATTTACTAATGTAAGTACAATTTTCTTTTTTCTATTTGTATAAATTGTTATTTTTTTAATATCAAAGCATGATATTAATTCTTCGTGTTCTTCTGAATTTTGGAGAAATCTTCTGAATTTTTATCTTTAGAGGTTGGCAGGTATGAAGTTCCGCTGTTCAAGTCCTATAATTGCTGAATACCGACTAATTTATCAATCGAAATTTTTTCATTTTCAATAACCTCTGTGTCACCTTCTTCGTGTCTTTATCCATTTTTGCAGCAATTCCACTTTTTGTTTAACGGACATTGAAACATACTTTCGTTTTGTAGATCCTTTGGGAGCTCCAGCATCGGAAATTCTATTTGACATAATCGAAAGTTCAAGTTTACTTTTATAAAATTGCTCTTACAATCTGCAAAAAATAATAAGCCGGATCCGATTCGAAGATTAAGGAACAACGCAATTTGCAACATTAACTGAAATAGATAATTAGATAATTTTAGCTTATATCATCCGTTATACATAAAACGCACACGCGAAAATGTATTCTGCGCTTGCGCACATGCATATGCGCAGTCGTAAAGGTCTTACGCGCAGGCGTGAACGCCTATGCACATGTGTCAACTCGGCGCATGCGCAGAAATTTTTTAGCTTGGAGGTCTGGATTATAGATCATTCCGGATTATGGGTGTCCGACTTAATGACTTTTGACTTTATACATTTATAAATAACACAATTAAACAATTCCAATCGATACAAATTGACAGGTATTCCTACAATATAAGAGCACATATTCTGGACTGCCATAGTGATGGGTCTGGGTTCAAATCCCGGAGAAGGCATGGTTGTAACTGTCTGTTCATAGGAGGCAATGGTGGCCACCTATTAGGTGCTTCCATAATAAAATGCCCACCACTTCCAGCCCTTGTAATGGCGCATGACTAATAGCTATTAAATGAAGTGCCTGGTTATTAAAAAATAATCATTTCTGCTTGCTTTATGAAAATGATGTTGCATATTATTTTAAAACTTTTGCCTGTGAAGTAACATACCAAATATTCAAATACAGTTTCCAATGCAATCAAACTTTGTGTATATTATATCTGTATTAAGATGCAAAATTTTATAGCATGGTATGATAACATGTGTGGGTTAGTGTAAATTTAATGCGAAAACAATTAGACCTGTATTCAAAAATTTACATATAGAAAATAACAGAATATTATTTGTATTTTGATTTATAATATATTAAAATTTTGTATCTTTTTAGGTAGTGTATATAGGGAAAAAGTTTCCTCTTAAAACTGGTTACAGTAAGCCAATTGTTCCATTATGTATATGTGATTTACTAGCACCTGTAAATTTCACCATCATTAGTGAAGATCAGTGCCAAAGCCTAAATGGAATATCTGTTCCTCCAGGATGTAGTTATACACCACATTTTTATGTGCCTAATATTTTCCTCATGTCTGTCATTCTATTTATTGGTACATTTGGCTGTATTCTTTTATTAAGAGAAGTGAAAAATACTCCATTTTTCCCATCCAAGGTAAGAGTTTTTTTTTTTTTTTTTTTTTTTTTCCCCTTATTTGTAACATCTCAAAAATGTGTTTTGAGGTGCCAGTCGATGATACATAAAATCTTTCACCGTAATTTCCGGAAGAAACGCCGTGGCGTTTACGTGTTTAAAACTTAAATTTCAGCGGGTGCAATGTTTAGGTGCACTAAAAATAAAATATTTCCTTTGATAGTCATTGTGCATAGTTTGAATAACTTTGTCATTGTACATAGTTTGGATGGCCTTGTCATTGTACATAGACCACTCAGTTGTTTCCAGTTCAGTTGCTCCGCCATTAGCTTTCGACTCTCCTGCAAACAGAACTGTTGATGAAACTGGTGCAAAATCTGTATCTGTGCTTACGACGGGACATGAAAGAACGATGTGTGTTAGCTTGTGCCACAAACGGTGACGAGCTAAAGCCGATAATTATTTTTAAACAGAAAACTATTCCGAAAGGAGATTTTCCTAATGACGTAATTATTTGTGCAAACGAGAACGACTGGCTGTGGGAACAATCATGCATGAGTGGCTACAAAAAGTTTGGCAGTGTCGTAAGGGATCTTTTTTCCAACCAAAAAGGTTATTAATAATGGATTCCATGCAGGCTCATTTACTTGAGTCAGTGAAAACCAGATGGCAAAAATTGTCTACGACCGTAGCAATAATTCCACGTGGTTTGACAAAAATCTTACAACCATTAGATTTGTCAGGTAATAAATCCTTCAAAGTCCGAAAGCGGTGGGAGTGTTGGATGAGTGGAGGATTGCATACGTATACCAAAAGCGATAAATTTCGTAGAGCATCTTATGAAGAAGTTGCAAAGTGGGTAGGAAGTGCATGGAAATCGGTAAAAACATCGTCAATAATAACAGGATTCAAAGAAGCTGAAATTATATCTTTAGATCAGTGTTTCTTAACCTTTCTAGCGAGTCGCACCCCATTGCATACGAAAATATATCTCACGCACCCCATTGAAAATTGTGTTTTAATTTTTTTAGTCTAGAAAAATACATTTTTTGCGAAAACTTATTGTTTATTGAAAAACATTGTACATTTTATATAAATACAAAACAATATTATTTTTATTAATGACTAGTCTGTTGTTGTTTTTTCATTATTATACTGGCGAAGCGAGGTTCTTTTTTGAAAGACATACACGTAAGTCACCACTTGCATTTAAGCGATTTCTCGCTTTAGATTTTATATGCAAAAGCGATGAAAATCCCATTTCGCACAAGCAGGTGGTAGCAAAGGGTAAGAGTAACTGCAGTGCTCCGTTCACCAATTCTGGATAACGTTGTAACTGTGAACACCAGAATTGTTGCGATTCTAATTGTTCGAATTCCATTTGAACATGTTCACTTGCTCGCATTTCAATAAGTTGATCTTTTTTCAGATCACTATCATCCATCAAATTTAAGTCAAATAGAAATGGATCCTGTTTCCATCTCTGAGTTTTGGTAATATTTCCGGTAGATTAAATATCCATTGAATGAATCTCTCAATCGTCTCAAATATATTACAATATCGGGTATAATTAATTGTATTCTTTTCATTTTTCGCAATAACAGAATCAAGCAAGGGAAGGTTTGCAAAATTCCCCTTTTCTACCCGACGTATCCAAATTTCTAATTTTGTGATAAATGAAGATAATTTTTCACTAGATATTATTATATTTATACCAAATCCTTGCATCGATAGATTCAATTCATTTAAATGGCTAAATATGTCTGTTACGCAGGCCAGCCTCAGCATTGCATCATAACTCTCAAAATCTTTTACTAAATAACAATTTTGACTAGTCAGTAATTGAATAATTTCCTCACCCAATTCAAAAACTCTGTTAAGTATGCGACCCTTACACTGGTGTGCAAAAAATTAAGGATGAGACGGTTTTTTTAATATAACTTTGTACAAAAGCTTTCCAAATCAACACATTTAATACCGTAAGATCTCCAATACGTAAGGACATGAATAATGTAAGCAACACTTACTAAAAGAGAAATCAGAAGCATAAAAAGAAGCTTTATTGAAAAAGTAGCATGGAGCGCAATGCGACTGAAGGCCGAAACATCCCTGTGATGGGTGTCCAGCAAGAAACATCCGGTCTTTAATAGGGGATATGATCTCCCCTGACTGCTAGGCAGGTTTCACAGCGTCTGCCCATGCTGAGAATGAGGGTGTCAATGAGTTGTTGAGGCATTGCTGCCCATTCATCTTGCAGCGCCAATCGAAGCTCTGGATTGGTTACTGGTGGTAAGGTACGAGCTGCCAAGCGTCTGCCTAGAAAATCCCATACATGCTCGATGGGATTGAGATCCGGAGATCATGCCGGCCAATCCATACGTTCAATATCCTCACTCTCTAAGAGCTGTTCGGCAGCTACTGTGCGATGACATGGTGCATTGCCGTCCATGAAAAGGAACTGCGGACCCATAGCGCCTCTAAAAAGATGCACATATGGAAGAAGAATCTCGTTACAATAACGGATCCCGTTGACTGAACCTGCGTCGAAGATGTAAAGGTCTGTACGACTACCAAGCATGATGCCTCCCCAAACGAGAACACCGCCACCTCCATAACTGTCCCTTTTAATGATGTTCGAGGGATGATTGCGCTTCTCCACTCTCTCCAGATGAGTATGCGATGAGAATCGCTACTCAGACTGAATCTGCTCTCATTTGTAAAGAGTCCTCGTCCCCATTCGTTGTCTCTCCAATTCCGGTGTTCCCGGCACCACAGAGAACGCCTTCTCCGATGGGCAGGCATTAGAGGTACACACCGTGCAGGGCGTCGTGCAAACAGACCACCACCGTGCAGTCTTCTGGCCACGGTAAAACGCGATATCGGTCGTCCAGTCGCTTGTGTCGTGTGTCAAGCGATTTCTCCCACTGTCTGCCGCCTGTTTCTTCTGGCCTGTAAGGCAATATACTGGTCATCTGCAGGTGTGGTTCCTCGTGGACGACCACTACTAAACCCCCGGATAACTGTTCCTGTAGTTTGAAATTGTCTCCAAAGTCATGAAACGATGCTGTGAGCAATTCCGAACTCTGCAGCCACACTTGTCACACTGCGGCCTTCCTCCAACTTCCCAATGATTCGACCTCGGCTAAAAGCATCCAGATGTTGTCTAACAGATTGATTATTCGCCATTTCTCGCTAAGGCAGCAACTCGGTGTGATTTTAACTGCTATACGGCATGCAATCTCTTTGCCAGAAATACTGATCTTACACCGACAGCATGCTATACTACTCAGACATCCCATTACGTCTACTGCATATCTGCGCTGTGCTCTTACACCCTTACTTAATCCGATGGTCTTTCTGCGCTTGCCCTTCTCAGTGAATGTATTTTCGACTCGCTTAATTTTTGCACCAGGTAGATAACCATCGTATTTCGGTGTGATATAAGAACACGGTATGATCAGCACTGATTTCTTCGCAAAATGCACGAAAAATGCGATGATTAAGCGCTCGCTGTCAGATGTATTTTACTATATTTACTGCTGTAGTTAGATGTTGTTTTAAACTTTCTGGCAATGCTTTCGATGCAAGTGCATGACGAATCAACATGCAATGCGTTATTATAACTTCCGGTAATTCTCTTTTCATGTGTGAAAAAAATCCTGAATTTTTGCCTAACATTGCTGGGGCTCCATCAGTGCATATTGAGCCAATCACATTCATTGGTAATTGATATTTAGTAAAAAAATCTTTGATGCGATTGAAAACATCAATTCCTCTCGTATTCACCTCCAGTGGCTCACAAAATAGAAATTCTTCTATCACCTCTTTTTCCTTCACATACCTGACAAATACCAAAAGTTGGCTACAATTATCAACATCAGTTGACTCATCCAGTTGCATGCTTATTTTTAGTGGACTGATTTTTATGTCTTCAATTACTTGCATTAAAATATCTTCACTGAGATCTTGTATATTCGCGATCGTATAATATCATTCGATAATGGAATCTGTTGGATTTTTTTATGTGCTTCCGAATCTAAAACTGTTTTAGCAATAATTAAAGCAGAAGGTTTAATCAACTCTTCAGCGATCGTGTGAGGTTTTTTTTTTTTTTTTTTTTTTCACATAAATATGCCACTTGATATGACGCTTCTAATAAAGGTTTTTGAATTGCTGGTCCGCACAATTTTAGGATAGTTCCACTGGTATCAAACCGAGCCTTCTTTGACTTCAAGCTGTTCATGCTATGCGCTTTTTCGCCACCATGCAGATTGTTGAAATGCTCTAATAACTTTGATGGTTTGAGATTGCTGTTTGAAAATATCTTGGAACACAAGATGCATTGCGGTCGTTGCGTGCCATCTTTTTCGGTTGTGCAGGTAAATCCATAACCGGCATACTTATCGTTCCATTGTCTTTTTTTTTTTTTTTTTTTGGACATAGTGGGTTCACTATAATCGATTTAATTATTTAGAAATAATGTAATATAATATATATAATGTTCTTACGTTTGTAATATCACTGAATTCTATTCGGCTTGAACGGGCAATTAAGAATGTATTAGTCTCAAGAGGTTTCTGGAACAAGTCAGAATACACAATACACATGTCGCAGACACAATAGTTGACTCTACCTAACACAGGTCGCAGTAGATGCAGATACAAATCTGTGAATCCGTAGATTTCATTGGAGTAGCACATGTTGAACTCAGCTCATGCGCAAGCTGGGATAACAATCTCCGCTTGTATCGTCGCTTCGTGGCTATCGAGGTTTCTCGAAGGTCATACTTGTATTCCCACAAAGATTTTTTTTCTTTTCGCCGTCTCCTAGCTGCCTGTTCGCGTTCATTTGTAGCATTCCATCCATGCCTTTTCGTAGTGTAGTGTATATGCCCATCAGCACCGGCTTTTTCCTGTGTCTTTTGCCGATAAGTGAGCTAAGTGCTACCAATTTTTATGAGCTTCAGTATTGGGGACACTACTGCAGATTTCAAATCTTTTATTATAAGAAATTTAATGAAT